GAAGAAAGTGACAGAGAGGTTAGTGAAAACGAAAAAATTTCGATTGACAAGTTAGTCGGTATTCCGGCACAGCAATTACAGGACTTGAACAGCGGAACTTTGTAACTGAATAAGAAATTATGTGTGTTTATAGAATTAAAGAGAAAGTATTAGCACATAAAACGAAGCAACTTAAACAACTTACATTGAAAGAAATGTTTAATAAAGTAAACAAATAAATATTAAGCTTTTTATTGTAAATTTTGATACCCTTTAGATCATAATTGCTCTTTATTTCATAAATCACAGTTTCATATTTTTAATTTTATAATTTATGCATATCATATTGCCAGATTTAAACTGATGATCTATAATCCGGAATCGCCCAAGTCCCGACGAGTCCGGATTAAAGACTTTGTACTGTATTTATTAATTTAGAAAAAACTATATATCCCACTAAGATATTAGAGCATGAATAGTTTTCTCTTCTCCATGATGTAATCAATTGTATAATGCAACAGCAAGTTGACTCTTTTGTATTCGATGTTTTCTTTCTTTCTTGGCGGTTATGGTAATTAATTTGTTACCACTAAATTAATGGTGGGAGGATATTGCATCTTTAACTCAGATTTAATTGAGAATTCACACATTACATTTATGTTTTAAAATAAATGAGTAAAAGTCTCTTTGCCAACTGCTTTACATTGTTTTTGCATAATAACAAAGAAGAGATGGCTAGGTATGCCCTACTGTATTAATTTAATACTTATTTATGCCCTGAGAAATGAAAAATTCACATTTATGTTATTGTACAAAAAAGGGGGGGAGACAGTTCTATATCTCTCTTTCTACTGGACAGATTGTCGAAATTTAACTTGCGGTTTTATATGTCTTGAAAGCGTGACTTAGGATATATATTAGATTTATAGTATATCATATTGTTCTAACATAGGGATTTTGACACAAAACCGGACTTTTTCTAAAATAACATATATATTTTTTTTCCATATTTCGATTCTACGACACAAATTACGCCTAGATATTACATTTTGTAATTTTTGGTGAGAAATTTATGAAGAAATTTAAAAATTTATCATGGCACATTTTTTTGAGTTTGCACCAAGGATGATTCACTTGGCGAAATTTTTAATTTATAGCAATCTATTTTCCTTTCCTTTTTTTTATTGTACACGAGAGGAAAAACTGTCATCATTCATACTTTCAAATCATTTTGACAAAGTGCATAAACCGCATTTGGTGTTATAATCGCTTATAACAAATATGCCAAATTTCAAAAAGCTCCAATATGTAAATTCACTTATATCTTAGGAAATTTTGAACAAAATACTCTAATTTTTTGTAGGTATGCTTAGATATACATACATCTACTTTAAGATGATGGTAAAAATTTGATAGGTTATGATACTAATTGTTGCCAAAACATTTATAAAAATTACTTAAAAATACAAATTTTAAAAATAAATTATAAAAAATGGGCAAGTTTTATTTAGAATGAACCTAAATTTCGAAATGTGAAGGAAGTATCACATAAGTTTAATAAAAAACGAGATCTCAATAAATATATACCAAATTCAATTAACATGGAGAAGTTAAAATTTTGAAAGCTAATTTTTTAAAAATTATTTGAGCGATTTTTACAAAACTTGGCACTTTGGCATAATTTGAATCATAGAATCAAAATATGGAAAAAAAATTGGTATGTTATTTTGAAAAAAGTCTGATTTTGTGTCAAACCACCATCCTCAGCTGCAAAATCGCAAATGATGCGGTTTTGCAGCCGAGGATGGTGGTTCGGCAAAACCATCGAAACTAGTCCTGTGAAAATTTTGTAAATATAACGCTGATTTTTTGTTGTTTGACTTCTGAATTAGTATTTATTCAGCGTGTTATTGTGTCTTAACAATTGAGTATGTTAATGTATAAAAAATTAAATAATGTGTACAAACTTATTATGGAAAATATAGGGCTTTTTACTAAGTCATTGAGTAATAAAATAAACTTTAATTCTAAAACTAAGGAGGCATCTTAAATTTCTTCATATCAAATCGTTGCGGCTACAAAATATTATGGTTTAGTTTTAGGTTCTGATATCTGCTCATAAATTTACATACACTAGAACGTATAATATGCATACCGCAAATTGACATTATTTCTAGTCAAATATGTTCAAAAGTGCTAGAGATATTCAAAATATATAAAAAGATATTTCGTACTTCAGCCGCACATCATATACTAAACAGAATGTTAATGATAGTTTAAGAGGGAGAATAGAAATAACTAAGAAATACAACAAACAGTAGCTAATAATAAAGAAGTCTGGGCAATGATTTTTTAAAATGTATAATTAACTAATATGGATACTCTGTAGTTAATAATAAATACGTCTGGACAATGATTTTTATATTAATTATTAACTAATATGGATACACAGACATCTGGAATGTATACTGAATAATCAGCATCAAGGGCCCTAGTCTGGACACCGTTGAGATGGAAGAACGGGTCGTTTTTTGCGATCTACTCGACACAGAGTGAGTCTGGTGTCATCGTCTCGATCACTACAGAGAACGACACGTCAGAAATTTTTCCGTCAGCTGGATAGCTGCCATTTAAGTTTCTGACTGTCGTTTTAGAGCTAAAGTGAGGACGGCGTATAGTTTCTGGAAGTGTACATAATGGATATTTTAATTTCTTAAGATTTGTGAAAAACTCAAATATTTCGCTATAGAAATAACGCATTTGATGCTGATGATTCTAGATTATTTATATATTCTACAGTAGCAATTCCTTAATTTTAATTAAATTAAATTTTAGTGAAAATAATATATTTGGTGTTTTCCTATTTCACATATAAAGAAGGAGTGCATACTTTTAATTTAAAATTTTAATTTTTCAACTAATGTATATATCAATGTACTTAATTTCATGTTTGGATGAGTAATTTATAAATTTATAAATTTTATGTTTTCACTTATAATGTATTTGCCCTCTCTACTTTTATTTTAATTTGTAGTGTATAAAAATTTAATACATTAACACCTGCATTAAAGAATATGCAGTATATAATTCAAATTATTCACATCCTAAATTCAACATTTACATTAAATTGCTTTGGGTTAAAAAAAATTATTTAAGTAGTTTTAACTGTACTGATATGAATGTCAGTTTCCAAAATCTCCTGTACAAAACAAGTTAAATTCCTGTATAATTTTCGGTTAAATTCTTGTAAATATTATAATGCAAGATTTATAATTAGTTAGATTTTTTAATGTGGTCTGCTTTTAGATATTACATCAGTTTTGTATTTTTATTCAGATCTTAAAGTGCTTGGTTTTGGTTTTATGTAATTACGGCAAAGCCTCGAGGGCTATCTGCCTAAAGTGAGGGTTGCCTTCGTGGAGGATTTCCTAAGGGAAACTAGCTTGTATACACGTAACACATGGGGAAAACCACGAAACGCCTATGCCCACCGTTGCAGCCAGCCTTGGACCGTTTCCAGTGTTCAGTATTTTACCTGTCGGCCCTGGTGGGATCGATTTAAAAAGGATGTAAATGAGATTATTTCTTTACTGCTTCTGTCAATATATTTATATCAGTTATATATATCTATATATATATATACATTTATTTATTTAAAACAGATTTTGCGTGCCTTAACCTTCTATACTTCTGGAAGTTACCAATGATATGTTGGTAATGAGGCCCATGCAGCCAGTCTGTTCGCTGGATTCGAACCTCGGACCGCACTACCAGTGTTCAGAGATTTTACTGCTTGGCCACTAGTGGGATCGATTTAAAAAGGGCATAAATAGGAATGTGTACTGCAATTCCCTTTCACTGCATATGTTAATATATTTATAATACATTTAGTTACTTATTTATTTAAAACAGGCTTTGTATGTCTTAAATTTTTATGCTTTTGGAATTTACGAGAAATATGTTTGTAATGAAGCCCATGCAGCAAGCCTGATCGCGGGATTTAAACCTCAGTCTGAACTATCGGTGTTCAGAGATTTTACCGCTCGGCCGCTAGTGGGATCAATTTAAAAAGGGTATAAATAGAAACATGTGCTGCAATTTCTTTCACTGCATATGTTGATATACTTATAATACATATTATTCACTGCATATGTTGATATATTTATATACATATATATATATATATATGCAGTGAAAGTAAATTGTAGTACATATTCCTATTTATACCTTTTTTAAATCGATCTCACCAGCGACCGTGAGGTAAAATCGCTGAACACTGGTAGTCCAGTCCAAGGTCCAAATATATATGTATATTATATAATTATTTATTTATTCAAAACAAGTTTTGTTTGCCTTAAATTGTTTTGCTTCTGGAAGTTACCAGAGATATATTGTTAATGACAGATATATTGGGCTGAGAAATAAATGTCAAGTTGGTGCATTTGAGAGGTTACATATGCTATTTGTTCTGGTATTTTCACCAAATAGATAAATTTACATAGTTTTCAACAAAACAAAATCAAATTACGATTCAATCAAAAGTTTGGATTTTCTGGTGTCATCAGCGCTGTAGGATGGTACCCACATATCTATAATTGCACCTACTGACACGGAAGAATGCCAGAGTTCATTTATATAAACAGAAAAATCTTTCCATTATCTTAATATGCAGCTGTTATGCAATTTTCCCTTCCATTTTATATAATATATATATGTTTATGTGTGTGCATTTATGTGCAAGATGATATGTTTTGTGATTTAACCTATAGTCATTTAATTCTTTTTATTTTCCTTCCCATTACTTTTGTTAAAAATTTCTTATATTTTTACTCACTAGTAAATCATCTTTTAATGCATCAATCCAAAGTTTTCTGCTTATTGGTATTTTCGATACATGGTATATTTGTAGCTACGTGATAAGTATAATTCCTGAATAAATAAAATTATTGATATAATCATGGGCTGCTAAAAATTAAAAAAATTTTTGATTCAAATTCAATAAGAATGTGACAAAAACTTACATTTCAACTGCTTTATTCCAATTTATGACATAGCCAGATAAAACAAAAGATTCCACATTGACAATGTGAACATTTCCTCGCTCAGTGCCAATGTATAACCATTTACTATGAAAGGGGAGACAAGCATATGTGATCCTGTAAATATTTACAAAATGTTAGGAAACATTACCTACCACAGACATAAATTAAACGCATAATTCAGTTTCATTCTGTCATGTACTCAAAACAAGGTGAAACATGGTGAAAACAACCTTTTACTGTGCCTCTAAAGTCAAGATATTAGAAACAACTCATCTATATACTATATATATAAAGCAATTAGCAATGATTATAGAGACGGATATGTACCACTTCAACATAGTTTTATTACTGATTTCATAAAAAGATAATATACGAAAACAAATTTAGCACTGTTTAACTTTCTATATAGTACATTCCTTCAAATGCTGATTTATAGTCTAAGGATGCATAAATTGCCATCCAAAAACATTAATGGTGAATACACATGTGAATTTTGGATGTGTAGGTATGGAAAGTTTTGCCTTAATTACAGAATATCATTATACTAATGGATTAACTATTCTATGTAGACCAAATAATAAATTGTATTTTGTATTTACAGAACCTTTCAATAGCCATCTTCCTCGAAATCCTTACATAGTATAATAGAAGCACTGGTAATCATACTGTAACCATGACACAGTACTAGTAGTCGTATTGTGTTTAAAATGATACAATTAAAAAAGAAAAAGATGAAGAATTTATTTAATAAAAAATGGAAATAGATGCTGCAGTTTTCAAAAATAAATAAAAAAATAACAGTATATATACCCGTTTACAACACAATGCTATAATGAATGCCTTGGAAGATAAAGGATTATTTTGATTATAAGTGAAATGATTACAAGTACTGATGCACAATTCAAATGGAATGATGGTGACCACTTGCTTCAAAATGGTCGGTTTTTGAAATGTCATGAGTACAGACTTCATCTTAAGGTAACCCTAATGGAAAAAATCATTTGGATTTAGGTGAAGATAGCGAGTTGCCATTTTGTCGATCCATGTCTTCCAAACAAACAGCATCAAAAGTCTGATATGGTCAGATTGAATATCGAGCTGGGGACCCCTCCACTGCCACTATGAATTTTGGAAAATATTTTGGTGATGCTCACGTGATTTGCTTTCTTCCACAGTCATTTGTTTCAGTCTGCAACTCCTCTGCAGGTAGCACATGCCACCTTTTCTATTAAAATTTCTGCTCACTTTAAGGTCCAGGTGGTTCAAATTCATGTACTATCTGCCATGTCACTTCTCTGTTAATTACCGATAAATAAATAGTAACAAACATATCACATATGCTACTTCTGTAATTGATGACAATTACATAAAAACAAATACACTGCACACAGTACACAAATACACTATTTAGACAGTCGATATTTTCTTATCTCGTTAAATAATACGTATTGTTAAATGTATCAATCCAAAACTTTATTATATTGCATGATGATAATTTTTTCGTATGCGGTGCTCATTGCGATTGTTTTGCAGTCTTATCATTTGAAACATATGGATCCCTTCAGAAGAATCAGTGATGTAAATACATAATGGAAGTACACACACACCAAAAAAAAAGTAATAATGACCTTACCTATCCACAAATTACAATGCTGAAATACTTTTGATATCTTTCAAGCAAAAGTTAATATTTATAACATATTATAATCTAAATTAAATTTTCTAAATTAAAGTATGTTGCATTTTTTCCATTACAAACCAAAATATAATGACATTAGAATTATAATTTATAGAATTATGACCATCCTTTCTTGGATACTTCAAATCTGAGAAAATTTTTTAATTTAGGAAAATATCCACATGAACTGAATAGTTTGTCTGATAGACTTTTAATTTTATCTTAATCATGAAGGAACTTATAAATATGATAATAAATATAACATAAGTTATAAACATAATATAATAAACTTATAATTTATAAATAACTTATAAATATTGTTACGGATTTGGTATTTAAACAGCTAATGTTAGTAGACTTAAATTAAATTGTTTTATTCAACGTGCAGTGACGAATATTATGAGAAAGCTAAGCCGGAAAAATTAAAAATACAAGAACACGTGCATTTAATATATAAATAAATATCTCTTTTTGATTTCGAGAAAATTCTTGCGCGCGATTTAAAATCTTATAAAAAGGAGGAAAATCTCTCAATTTAGTTAGTCAGTTAGTTTGTTGTTGTTTTAGGAGTTTGTTTAGAAAACTGCTCTTGTTGATTGCAGCGAATTCGCGGATTAGCTTTCTCTAGCTGTTAAGTTCTTTTGAACGTTTGAGTAGTTAAAAGATAACTACCGTGAGATATTGTAATACTGCACGAATATCTGAGGAAAATTAAGCAGTTTTGCTGTAATAATAATAAATTTTGTTCATTTTTCATCGGACTTGTGCATTCAATTCATAACGAACCCGCACGCACGCAACACTTTTTGGTGTCAGAAGTGGGATTTGAATGCCAATTACTACAGCGATAGAGGAACAATTGAGGCAGCTCATTACTGCTTTTGCTGCATTCCAAGAAAAGATGGAAGCTGGCCAAGCATCATTTAAAGAAGAGATGAAAGATTCTGTTAAAGATGATATGAAATCTATTAAAGACGAGATGAAAGCACGTCAAGAGGAAATGAAAAGAGAAATAACCTGCGTAATAGAAAATAAATTCGAGGCTGTGGAAGACAGAATAGGAGCTGTCGAAAATAAAGTCGGACAAATTGAAGAAAAGATTTCTTCTGTCAAAGATAAAATAGAAGAGAGAGTTTCTACTGTGGAGCAACGAATCGAAGGAAGAGTTTCGGCCGTCCAACATCGGATGTCCAACAACAAATTGAAAAAAAAAGTATGTGTCGTTCAAGAACATATCGAACAACAAACTTAGTGAAGGGTTTCTGCTGCTGTTGCCGAAGGAGCTGACACTTTAAAGAAGAGCATAGCGACAGAAGGAAGCAATTCTCAGGGTTTTGAATTTTTACCGATGCCTGCTCGTCCCGTTCTGAAACTATCTGCATATGACGGGAAGACCTCCTGGCAAGTATATAGGACCCAATTTTCTATAGTTGCGGATGCGAATGGATGGTATTCCCAAGCTATAGGCTGTCATCTCGCCGCTTCTCTGAGAGCAGATGCAGCGGATATCCTGCAGATGCTTTCCGAAAACCAGAGACTAGACTTTGAAGCTCGATCCGGCGCTTTGGAGCTACTCTTTGGGGAAAAGTGTTTGAAAGACTACAGCACGCTTCAACTAAAATCCCGTCAACAGAAGCCCACCGAAACACTTCAGGAACTCGCCACGGATGTTGAAAGGCTGTCACATCACCCTTTTCGGAGTGCCAGACAGAAACAAGGGAAATCCTATCCCTACAGTATTTTAACGATGGCATCCGGAATCCCGAGATACAGCAGGCTCTACGAATGGCGGATGTTAAAGATACAAAAAGCGCCCTAGTGTACGCCATGAAATTCGAAGCAGCTCAGCAAGCAACTCGTAGAGACCGCCACCCAATCAGAGCTGCTCAAGTCCAGGAGCCAAGGGATCAAGTCACTGTTCGTCTAGACGATATAACCAAACAATTGAATGCCTTGAGAAGAAATATCAATGACAAAGAAACCGACATTAAAATGTTGGAACTGTGGAGCTGAAGGACACATACAGAGGAACTGCAGAACACCCCAGGGCACGGATGTTAAGACCGCTCCTAGTAAGCAGCAGGGAAACTAATTAGTGCCCATCTCGCGGAGCGGAGGCTGCCAGATAATGAAAAGCCCGAGTTTAAAGCGCTTCAGATTTCTGCAGTAAGAGGCGGCAGTAATGGACTTTTCATAATAGGACATATAAATGGAGTTCCCTGCAATATGACGATAGATACAGGAGCCAACGTTACCATCATCCGAAAAGATTTGGGTCAACAACTGGGAAGCATCTTATCTGGACGCCGCCCTGCGTTACCCTCCAGACTGTGTCCAGTGAAAAGATCGACATCGACGGAAAAGTAAACGTTAACATCACGTTTGGAAGTGTCGCTTACCATCACACGGCATATGCAGCAGAGATCACTGATTCTTGCATACTCGGATTGGACTTTCTAAAGAAATACAATCTTTCCTTGGACTTTAAAAATAACGAATTGCATTCTACATCTGAGGACATAGCCCTATTCGGAATTAATGATGGAGTGAAATCTGTCCACAAAATTATAGCTCAAGACGATATCACAATACCCGCAAGAACCGAGTTTTTACTTCCTGGAACCATAGCCGAAAATTGAAATTTCTGCTACGGCATCATAGAATATCCCAATAACTGTAATAGCCCGAAAGAAGTTCTAGTAGCTTCAACACTCGTCGACCTATCCAGAACGGTTATCCCGGTGAGAGTCGGCAATGTAACTGAGAAGGTGAGAGTTATTAAGAAAGGTGAAATAGTTGCAGCATGTACTCTAGTAACCAGCGTTGAAAGAAAGAGTAACATCCCAGAATCCGTGTCCTCAGACAGCATTACATCGGAGTTATTGCAGAATGCGCACTTAAACGATAAAGGAGAGGAATGCTGCCGATCGCGTCATTAAAGATCTTCAAGTTGTTTTCTCCCGTTTGTCTTCTGACGTGTGTCGAACCAGTTTGACACAACATAGAATCGATACCGGCGATCGTCCTCCGATCAAGCAACATCCAAGACGTCTACCGTTTGCTAAACAGGAAGAGGTACGAACACTTTTAAAGGATATGGAAGAAGGCGATGTCATCGAGCTTTCAGCAAGTCCATGGGCATCTCGCATCGTTCTCGTACGAAAGAAAGACGAGTCAACAAGATTTTGCGTTGACTATAGCCGGTTGAATGAGGTTACGAAGAAAGACAGTTACCCTCTTCCTAGAATTGATGACATTCTAGACACTCTTTCTGGAAGCAAGTGGTTCTCAACACTTGATTTAAAGAGTGGGTATTGGCAGGTATACATCCTGGTGACCGAGAAAATACGGCTTTTACTACGGGACAAGGGCTTTGGCAATTCAAGGTGATGCCGTTTGGATTGTGTAATGCGCCGGCAACATCCGAACGCCTTAT